ATTACCTATTCAAGCCGTCTCCAGCCATTATTAGTCTCAAAGTGGGTTCCTCGTCATCGAATTTGTATCCAATAGTCTTTAGTGGCGCCATCTTTCGAGTCAATAAAGTAACGCAACAGAGTTTAACAGGAGTATGGCTGTAAATGCTTCAGACATCTTTGATTAAATTTAAGGCAATAATAATTTAATTTACAATACCTCTTATAGGTATTTAGTAAGAGCCAGTGTGGACCTTATGATATTCTGCTAATAAATAGAGAAGATTCTGTTAAATAAAACATCATAAATAACAGTACACAGTATTCCCTAGAAAATATATCACTTATTTGTTCCCTTAACTCTTCAAATGGATTGTTTTCTGAAAGGAAAGAAAACATAACAATAACAAATAAAAACAGTTCATTTTATTTAGTATTGAACAATCTTACAGAACCACCAGATAAGCCTCAAAATGTGAAGGTGGTGTCATTTACCAGTAGAAGTGTGACATTGTCATGGTTACCACCCTTCACAGGAAACAGCCCAGTACTGGAATTTAAAATACAATGGAAGAGAAAAGAAGGTATTGAAATCTTAAAGTCTTGAATTACATAAATTCGATTAGTGCTTTGATAAGTCATTTTATTTTATTTTATCATTTTGATGTTTCAATCTACAAAATATTATTTTGGTAATAATAATAATAATAACGTACAAACTTCAAGCAGTGCTTTTAGTGTTTATAGACTAAAGTAATTTTGTTTGCTTATTCAGAAAGAATCACAATTATTGTAATTATTTGAGCTGGTGTTACTTGAAAAAACATTCAGTTTTTATCTTTCGATTAAAGCTCTAATTAAGATTTTATTCCTATGTATATCTTTTGTCATGTTTATTATATGTTTAAAAAATATTTGTACTAATTACAGGAAACAAACTGAGAAAATCATATCCCTTAGAAGCATTACCTCTAACACAATCTCATGTTTACTATATTTTCGTCACTTCATCAAAAAAAAATCCCCCAGTGGGACAGCTGTAAGTCTTACAACGCTAAAATCCGGGGTTCGAGTCCCCTCGGTGGACTCAGCAGATAGCCCGATGCGACTTTGCTCTAAAACAACCAAACTTGTTTTATATTGTTTTTTTCCAACTAGAGTGTTTATGTATGCTATTTTATGGTCGTGACAGGAGATTTTTACCGCTTTAAGCTTTGCCTTTAATTTTATGCAGGATGACAGAATAACTCGCAATGACATTTTTCTTTTGTTATAGCTACAATTGAGTATAACTTAGATGTATTATAAGCTTTTTCTGAATCTGTTCTTGTCTCAAAATTACTGAATAAAGTTAGTTATCTGACAACACTTGTTTCCAATATGTTATGAACTAGGTGCTGAGTTAAATAACTTGTTTTTGTTGTTAAATGAAGGTAATTTAATATATTTCTGCAATATATTGGTTTATTGATAAGTGATGACGATCAAGTTGTAATTATTATGTCATGCAAACTGAGAGATCATTAAACTTTTAAGATCCACATTCTGTAGATTCGTACAGATTCTCTCATTAGAAACTTAACTTAAAAACACTTTAACAATAACAGCACCATTGATATAATAGGAAATGTCATTATAGCACCTTAAATTACAGTTAGGAATGTTATTTTAGTTACTATCTTTGAATATAGTTACAATATGTATTCATAGCTTCTTAAGTGTTAGTAAAGCCAAACTAAATGAACCATTAGAAAACTTAAATATGTTATGAATTCAAATAAATAATTAAAATGCAATTATTCATGTTTATTTGATTTTAAACATTACACATTACTTATATTATGAATTCTTTCGGTAAAAAAAATAGCTCAAGGTGTTTTGAAAATACGAAAAATTGTATGAGTTATTAGAAATAGCAGACCTAATGTTTCAGAATTGTCTCTATTATCTTATCAGTCTTCGTGTAAAAGTTGTTTATTTTTTAGTATATCATAAACTAGTGTAGCCCATAGAATTGCCGAGTTTCAGAATTTAAGTATTTGTATTTTTGTATCTATCGCACAGCTACTAAAGATCCCTCTGATTACTGGTCGCTCTTATGATCAAATGACCTGGAAGGATCAGGTAAACCCTGGACCTTTACATCCTTCCTTGGCTGTTGGTTTAGTTCTTGATTGTCGTGGATGAAGCCCACATCAGGTCTCCTGTATTATTCGACCCGGTAACTAGGAAAACCCGTTATTACATCATGCAGCCACTGTATGCGCGCTACAGTTGTTGCTACTAAGGTTATTTGCAGCCGTCCCTAATTTTGAACTACTGACCAAAGGAAAGACAATTAATCAGAGGCACGCTACTGCCCACCATCCACACTAAATGACTAAATATTGCTCACACAACTTGAAGAGCGTAGAATATGTTGTGGTATCACACGGATGTGAACTCGCAACGCAGGCTCCGAAATCCAGAGCTCTACCACAGAGGGGAGGGGGAGCAAATAACCACGGTGCTTTGCGCCATAAAATCTCAACCAACCAAATCTAACACAGGTCCAACCTGTGTTTTTCAAGATTTAAGAATTGTATTTCATAAATAATTATGTTTAGGGACCCCTCGTAGAACCGTAACAAATCAGGCTCCAGGATCTATGGGTTTGTATTTCACAAATTGTTCTAACCTAAGATCTCCCCACAATGCCACAAAAAGCCATGTTCTGAACCTACGGAATTGTTATATTAATGATATGACGGAACTACCATGCAATGCTACAAGAAGACGGACTCTAGGATCTATATCTATTGTGTTGTATTTCATAATTAGTTATGACTGAAGGTATTTGATACACTAGGATCGAGAATGTAGAAGTTTGCAATACCTCTGAAGAAATTGACACTTGTTGTTTCTTTAAAGTGAACCAAATTAACTGTTATTATTTAAGCTGATATTATTTCATAAACAGATGTTTGGCTATATCTTTCGATTAATTCTATAATTGAAACTGCATTCCAAGGTTGAAAGAAGAAATTGCCTAAACAGTAAGTGAGGATAATCTTTATTTGCCCTTAACTATTTTCAGCGAATAATAGTCTCAAAGTGGGTTCCTCGTCACCGAATTTGAATTTATTTTCAGCGAAGTTGTTACTTTCATATCCTATTAGTTAATTGCAATGGTATATCTTACCTTATCTTCACTAAACACTAACGTAGAAAACACTAACAAAATGTCATTTTCTTCTAGTAAAATTATTGCGAAGTTGGCCAAATTCTCGAAAAAATAATTAAGTTGTGTTTCTATTCTGAATTCTTAGCAATAATTTCTTTACCAATTAATAAGTTTAATATTTAAAGAAGCCACAAAGCAAATATGGAATTAAAAATCAAGCAAATCACTCCATCACTCTTTTCAATTATACCTTATATATAACAAAGTGTATAGTTTTCCCAGTGAAACAAAAGACTAAAATATTGCTTATAATGTGCTTTAAAGCTTAGAAAACTAATAAATTTCACACATTTAAATTATTAAGTTAAAACAGAGACGAAAATAATATACGTAAAGGCCAAGAACCTTATATTAGAATATTTATACATATATTTCTTATGGTTAGTTGATCATGAGAAGTCAGTTAGTCATAACTAATATATATGTATATGTGTGTGAGTGTGTGGAAAATATTTTGAAATTTGGAGGTTACTGACAAGTTCTTTTTTTTACCATCTATAATTTACATTATGTAGAAAAAGACTGATTTGTTTCGAAGGATGCTGCTCCTTCCATTGTTTATGTACTAAATGCTTATAATTAATTTTACATTACCGACAATGTTACATTTATTTATATATCTTGTTTGTTATTCCTCATTTGAACATTCGACATGGTTTTGTCACGATAATATTAGTTTCCTCAATATTTCTTTGATCATCAATGTATTTTATATGGTGACTCAAAATCACATGTTATAATCAGAAAACTCAAGAGGCATGAGTTTTTAAATGATTAGTTGACTATAATGATCTTGATATACTAAAGCTGTTTGTGCATAATCATCCTTTAAGCCATGTCGTTTGGTTGTTGTTAAACACAAAGCTACACAACAGGCTATCTGTGCTCTGCCCACCATCGATATCAAAACCCAATGTTTAGCATCGTAATCCGTAGACTTATAGTTGACACACTGGGGGGGAGGAGGGAGAGAATTTGTAGAAAACGTAATAGTTAATGGCTTTTGGGATATTGGAATAAGTATTACAATTTATTATTAGATATTTTGTCATTTTTATGCAAAACCCAATAACTACTATTCCAAATAAACGTATTTACCTATATATGTTTCAGATAGCTGGCACCAGAAGTCATCTAATTCCTCTGTTCGTGGAAATGATACAACGTTCACTCTCTCAACTCTCTTCCCTTTCACAAGTTATGAATTCCGTATCTTTGCCGTAAACAAATTAGGTTCAAGTCAAGCTAGTCAAGTGGTACATGTTAAAACAGATGAAGAAGGTAACGAGAAGCTTGATAGCTTAATAATTAACCCAAAGTCCTTAAATAAACACGTTTTTTAAACGTTTATTAACATTATTTTGATCGCTTCTTTCTTATTATTTTTAACACAGCTCTTTAAAAATTAATAATAAGTAAGGCAACGTCGTAACTGCATTTTCTTCTTACAGACATAAATGAAATATATTTTCTAAAACTTATTTCTCTCATGTTTTTAAAATATTTTTTGTGCGTTAGTAGTCTTCAATAACATTCATGAATTTAACAAGTTATTTCGCCACTTAATAAGTTTTGTCTAATTTAATTTAACCGCAAATTTTAAAGCTTTCTTTTTCAAGAGATCATCTCCGAGTAGTAGATTCAGGCCTAACTGATTTGGAAAAGAAGTAATGTACATATATGATGATTCGAATTAATAACACGAGATATGTACAAGTTAGTCAGATACAGTCTCATTATCGGGTTGATTTTTGTGTTGATCTAAGTGAGTAGTTTGCTTTAAATTGAAGTTAATTAAGTACATTTTTACCCTTCTATAAGTGTTATTTATGTCACTGTTTTCGATCACAGTTTTCAATCTTGACCCGTAGTGCCTACCTTATTCTTCGTCAGTTGTAATGTACTTCATTGTCTAGAAAGTGGATATTGTTCCTGTCAGATTCCTCGTTCTACACCTTTTGATGTTCACTGAATGCAGAAATAGTTTGTGTTTCATAGGAGTTTAAAGTTTGTGTGTGTATGTTCCTGAAAAAATCAAGAGTTTGTCAATTTTGTTTCATCGACAGATTTCCTCTCACAAGCGCTTTTTAAGGAATAGAAAAGTTTTTGTTGTGTTTGATTTTATTAATATTTGTGAATCTTTCTTTGAGTGTTTGTATTTGTTGTCTTTTTGTGTCTCTAAAAACCTCATATCATGTTTTTGTTTAGCACGATAAGAACAACAGCCTTAGCTATGTTTTACACAGTGTGATCATCTGATTAAAGCATTTTAGTGCTTGTGTAACAAACATTTTGCTAGATCAGTTATTCTTATTAGATGGTCAACTTTTGGAAGACTGTTCTGGAAGGAGTTACTTCATTGCGGACAAACTGTGGGTAAAATTATTCTAGAAAAGCTCTTATTACGAAGCAATTGATGGTAATTATCTGATTAACTCCAAGATATTCAGTATTGCTTGTATGTTTTCTGTTTTTCTGTATGGGAAGATGATATCATCTTTTTTTTATTGTCAAAGAAAGGTAGTTTCTACTATCGTCTATTTAAAAGCGGTACTATACGATGAGAAATGATTACTTATGTGTTTTAGAAACGAATCGCACTTTTTCATTTTTACAGACGACAAAATATCTTCCACACATCACGATTGTTTAAAAGGTTTATAGTTAGCAAACGATAATGCAAGATATCCTAGTTCTTACACAAAAAATTCACCAATAAAAGGGGATAAATCTGTGCCCAATTGAGTTCCACCAGCCATTTTATGAAAATCATTTTCGAAGAACAGTTACAAGCTTATTTTTTTGTTTCGTTGTTAAGCACAAAGCTACACAATGGCTATCTGTGCTGTGCTCTCATGGGTATCTAAACTCAGTTCTTAGCGTTATAAGCCTTCAGCCTTATTGCTGAGCCATTGGAGCGCTAAAAGTAAACACACACAGGTTTCTAGTAGTGAAATTATTTAACACACGTTCAGGTTGTTCGTTGGACACGGAAAAGTTGTTTTCTACTTGAGAGCATGTCTTTGTTTATAGGTATCTTATTGAACAATGAGATGAGATTAAATCTAGTTAGAATATGTATCTCTTTTATTACTACATCTTTCATCTCGGTCACCGAGTTTTTTAGTTCTTCACAATCAGTTAATTTTTATCAGGCAAGTGTTTCAAGAGAGTGTGGCTGGATGCTTTGCTGTAATGTTGGTCGCACTATTGATGAAACTTAGGATAGATCTAAATAAACACATCTGTTTTAGATAATCCATAAAACTGTGAGGCATTCTAATGAAGTTTTTATATGCTATCAATGTTTAGAAACCACTATGTTTTTCTTACTTAATATTGGAATAGGGAAATAACCAGATCCTAGCATAAAAATTTGCTGCATCCCGGATGCCATTAATAATGTTAAATTCGAAGTTTTGTAGGAAGACAATGCAAAGTTAAACCTTTTTTAAGTAAAACGACGCTCTCTTGAATGACTTCTTTGTTTGAAATATTAATAATTTTTGGTTTTGCATTATTACCGAGTTTAAATAATTCATCTCTGTTGGAAAGGTTTTTTTGCGACTTCATTAGGAAGTTGTTGATTTTCTGATCTTTAAGGTTTGTAGTGCAGGTTTAACCAATATGGTTGTTGATCTGAGCTATGCCCTTTAGGTGTTGACATAGGGGTACGTGAAGCTCCTGCTTCTATACTTTTCAGCATGGTCGTTGTATATGACCCAAACGAGGATTTCATGCGAGAGCTTACGAGAGTTATATCTTTACTTCGGCAGCAGGAAAACAAGAATTGCAATCTTTAAACATTGATGCCTTTCAAAAATTCTACCAGAATGCATTATAGTTTTACTAGTTACCTAATACCCCACAGTTTCATAAGCATCACTACATAGAATACAATAAAACATCTATCCACCTTCTTGAATCACATAGTTTATGAAAATAATTCTTATGATCAAGAACTAAAAAAAAAAACATGGTTACTAAGAGCAAAGAAGTAATGATTAAGTTCCGTATATTTTATACAGTTCTGTGTGTCTACTTTCTATTTTACTTTGAGGAAAATTTTTTTACAAAAAGATTGATGAACAGTAAATGGACTCTCCTTTATATATATATATATATACTATTGTGTGTGAACTTTTTATGGGAGATCTAGAAATATGTTTATTACCTGCTATCTACAAACTTCTTAAATGGTTGTAATGGATGGAACACTTTTATATTTTTGTATCATCAAAAGGAAAAATATATAAATGGGTTTCTAGAAGAGTAAAGCAATCAGTGCTCATTGATCTAACTAGAAGATACCGGGCATTCTAGTAATAAAATACCTATATGGAGCCTACAAGCTTTACGCATTATCTCTTAAAACAATGTTACCATCCACCTGGAGGTAAAGAAAGAATTATGATCTGCCCAACAATAAGGGCTCCTGAAATGTGTCACCCACAATGTTTTCGACGTTGAACTTAAATACATAAAAGCACTCTGAAATAATTAATATTTATTCAATAACATTGATTTTTCGACAACAAAAGTCCTGTTTAGACATACACCAAAATGCAACCATCACACAAATATTCATGAAATCCTACCATTAGCCGTTTTTTTTTGTTTTTTTTGTACCTGAACAAATCTCTGGAAAACATTATAATAAAATTTTACAAAAGCAACCACAACTTCATAAAACAACTGACAAAACAGAAGAAACTTACTTCCAAACAGTGAGAAGAATAATGGTTTACGTGGCTTAAACTACAGCTGTAGGAAGAAATATATCGGTGAGTCAAAAGCACCATCACTCAGGAACGCGTACGCTCATAAACACACATACAAACACAAGCGATTTCTGCTGCTTGCCAGTAAACACATAATGCTCTGTACAGAGGAACTTCACTGTAACAAAATCTACAATGTAGACAAAGAGGTACATTATAATCGACGAGGAATACAGAAGGGCATTATACGTCAAGATTAAAAATCGTGGTCTAAAATTTTGTATGATTGTTGGATGTAAAAGACTGTTCAGTTTAAGAGTTATTATTTAGTTTCTTTAGTGATTTAATATTTAGTGATTATTTGGTTTTCATAACAAGAGTGTTAAATGTTAATTATTTTAAAAGCAATAGTTATGAAAAGTTTTATTACGTAACTCTCTACAAGTGAGTATGTGTATGTATAATTGTTGTACTAGGCTTTTGTAATATTGTTGACGTCATTTTACTAAAAACTTCTAAGTTTTCTCATTATGTTTAATATTGTTATTACTAGAAGGCTAGATATTTCTAATTTTTCTGTCGCGTATTATAAATACGTGCAGATACAGAAAGTTTCGAAGCTAGTGGAAGGAAGTTAGACTGCGAGAATGTCAGTTTAGCCATAACTAGCGATTCCAAAATGCGTGTTTTACAGTTTGTATTGTAATAACAGTGATAGTGAAAAATAATTCGTCTTGTTAATTGGGTTCTAAGGCAATTGAAGCAGACTGTGTGGATTTTTGATGTAAAAGAGAATTTTCTAAGGCTCTGGATAAATCTGTGGTAACCCACAAGATAATGTAACTGAATTTATTACTGACTGTATTATGATAACAGAGGAAAGAATAAGAAATAATTCGTCTTGTCAGTTGGGTTCTAAAGTAATTGAACCGGACTGTGTGGACTTTTGACGAAAAAGGGAATTATTTAAAGCTCTAGATTCAACTGTGGTAAACAATAGTGTAATGACAATTTGTACATACATTTGATTTTGTTTTGAATATACATATATATATATATATATGTAAACATGTGGATTGTGTGCCGTCCGTTTATTGTTCACATTTAACACTAAAAAGTCACAGACACCTACTGTAAATAATACATCCCAATAAAAACGTGACAATGATTGTCAATAAAGCAGGTTTAGAATCAGCTGTTTGTGGGATATACTGTTAAATGATATTTTATAACCATTTTTTATCAGTCTTTGTAAAGGAACCACTTTAAGCTAATATAATAGTAAATCTAAAACCAACGATTTATAAGCATGATGAAGTGGTTATATTTTGGAAAACATACTGTATGTTTCGACTGGACATTGGTCTGTCTTCTGAATATTGTAACATCAATTAATATACTAAACTAATTCTCATTTGAATAAAGTAATGTCTTAGTTTACGTATCTTTAAGAAGATTTAGTTGTAATAGTCTGAATTATCAATAATGTAAGATATATTTTGTGAACTTCAGCACCTGGTGGGCCACCCATAGAAGTTGAAGTTGAAGCTACAGGATCTCAGTCAATCAAAGTGACTTGGAAGGTGAACGTATTAAAGAATAGTTGATTTTTATCATATATAACGACTGAGTACTAATTCCTAAAATGAATAATATTCAGTACATAAATGATACATATAATTAGAACAAATTCGAAAAGACATAAAAACTGATTTCTATATCACATATGCCTTTTTCTTGCTTGAATTACATTACACAAAGTAAACAACCTTACATGCTTCATTATTACTGTTTATTTCTGATACAAAAGTGTCCATTTGTAAACCATTTTAGTTAAAATATTTTAATAGCTTATTTAAGTTATTAAATAAGTTATTTTCAAAACTATTACAACTGCAAGAAAAAGAATCAGTAACTAAGGTATGCTACTATAGAATTGAATACTTGCTGTCAAAAACAGCGCGTCACTTGTAGCTGATTGGCTGCATACCATGCCAACCAATACAAGTCTATTTATGGTACAAAATGTATGTTGAATTACAGAGATAACAACAGGTTCCAGTTTCTCGCCTATATAAATACTTTACAAGAAATTTACTTACTTCACAAAATAATATGTTTACATAAAGAAATCCACCGGTAAATTAGAGACGGCTAACGCAGATAGCCCTCGTGTAGCTTTGCGCGAACTTCAAAACAAGCCAAACCAAAACATAAGGAAATATTAAAACTTTTGAGCAGTTATATAGGTATTTATAAATGTTTTTGTTTCCTGTACATTTAAAAACTTACCAAGCAAAAGCACAATGCGTATTAGACAACAACAGTATTAAAGAACCGACCATTGTTAACTTTGAAAATTCAAATAAGGCAGTTTCACACAAATAAACATATAAGTGCAACTGAGAATAATTTTTTTTATGTGTTACGTAGAAACAAATTCACGTCACGTCACTGGAAAATTGTTCAGTTAATTGTACATACTATAAAAGCGTTGTAAATCTGTCGTATACAACTTTCTTTTGTCTTTTGATTCATTTACTGTAATATACAAATTATACTAGTGTGGTTATTTTAGAACTAGAAACTTCTTAGATCTAATAATGTTTTATAATTTTCAATTTTCTTTAGCCCCCTGCTGAGCAACTTCTATTTGGTTTTCTGAAAGGTTACTACGTTGGATACAAAATAGCTGGATCTCTTAATACCTATGTTTATCAGACACTAAAAATAGGAGATCCAAATTTCAGAGAAAAAACTCGTCTCACCAATCTAAGACGCTTTACAAAATATGCAGTCGTTGTTCAGGCATTTAATAGTAAAGGAACAGGACCAGCTTCGGAAGAATCAATAGTACGAACATTAGAAAATGGTAATAATTAATATCTAACTTATATCAACTTAATGATAGTTTCTTATGTGACTTATTTTGAATCATTTAATCATAATCCCTCTTTCTTCAACATTTAACTGTGAACTCACTTTATTTGGTATTTACAAACAACCACACTTTGAATTAAATCCAAATTAAAATTATATACCTGTAATTTTCATCAGTCTTCAGTAAATTCATATTTCCTAAATGTATTGCTACTGGCTTGAAACCGACAAATATTCATATTCTTGGCACCATGTTGTTCATAAACTTGTAACATGTTTCGAAGGTTATGTATAGGTTGAATGAAGTATTTCTCGTGCTTGCATCATGCAGGATTTAATTGAGCTCATATAAATGGTAATAATACTGAAATAAAATTATTTATATTTTCATGATTTCCAAGTGTCAAAGTCGTTTTGGTAAAACAATGATAATAGCCTATGAAATCTCACAATAATTCCAACTTAATCCCTTGCAGTTAAGGTTAATCCAACAAGAAAATTGCTTTAATGCAGTGTTTGGAAAAGCTATAAATTCTCAACGTACTCAACGTTAAGTACCTAAATATTGATAAAACGTGGTTTATTATTTTGATTACATATACACAAACAAGCATATATATATATAACTCTTTTTACAATTTCGTATCGGCCTGACATGACCTGGTGATTAGGGCACTCTACTCGCAATCTACTGGTCGCAAGGTTGAATCTCATCATCGAACATTCTCGCCTTTTTATTCACGGGGGTGTTTTAATGTAGCAATTAATTCCACTATTCATTTAGAATACCCCAAGTGTTGGCGGTAGGTGGTATTGACTATTTGATTCCCCTCTATCTTATCATTTGTAAATCAGGGATGATAATCGGATACATCCCTCGAGTAGTTTTGGACTAAATTAAGCAAATAAACAAAACAGTTTTGTACTTATCTAATTATTTCATGTTATTTGAGATCTAAACTAATAAATTGTTGTTTTGTGTATATATTACATATTTGAGATTACTTCTCCAGGTATAACTAGTCTTAGACTTTCTACGTGATTCAACTTTAGACCCTTATTAATAATTGGTTTCATATGGTTTCATTTTCAGATCCTCCTGCACAACCTTCGTTAGATATATTAGCAAGTACATCTTCTTCAGTTCATCTTTCATTTAGGAGAAAAGATCATATTAAAAATAATCACATTTCTGGTAAGTTATTTTTATAACATATTCTGACTTTTGACCAATCGACTGCTCAGAATTGAAATTTAATATTTGGTAATTACCATTCATCGTGTTCTGGAGCCAGTTCTTTAACCAATTTTACAGAAATGGATGAATTGATAATTTTGTTAAAATTTTAGTTTTAATAGACGTTTCTTTGACACATATATATATACAGTCTATATACACACTAATATACAATCACCTACATATTGCCATTTCTTCTCAGAACATTGTCATTTAGGATTACGCATCGTAACACTATTGATACAACCCATGAAAATATTTTTATACAACTATGAATAAACGGTACAATTGGATTTTATTATATTTGTAATATTTTTGATATGTAGAAATGACTTACTTTGTCTGCATTCAAACTGCAATAAAAATCTAAAAAAAATTATGTAATTAACTATATTTACTTATTTTTGTGAGATATTTCAAATATCTAAACAACCAACGTTAAGTGGACCTCACGAGATTTTATGTTTACGGCAGAAAAAACAAAGATAAATGTATGTAATTAGAGAGTTAGTATTAGTGTTATAATTTTTACCTTATTTATAATATTTGTAATATTGTTCTAATAATTTAACATAGTTTAAACCTTTTCTGGAAAATATTTTAAAGCAAATCTAGTTATCTAACTATACAAAAGGTAGCTTATTTATTAATTTTCTTATGTGGTTTCAACTACTGTATTTCTGTTTATATGTTTGTTTTCCAAACATATTAATCTATACTTATTACAAGTATATATAGAATATTTTTATCAATGTTGCTTTTTTTTTCTATGCTGCTCTGTTTTCCTTACAAAGTAATTAAAGTAACAGAAACATTTACCGGTGTTGTTTATGTACAATACGTATTAAGACAGAACCCTAAATAAATGTTAGCTAAAAATATCACGCACCCATACTTGAAAATCTCTCCTACTCTCCTACAATTACTCTGATGCTCAACAGTACATCATTAAATTATCTGTGATAAATAAAATTTCATCAACAATTACTGAATGTAAAAGTAGTACTCATATATATTTATTTTAGATACAGCTGTTATATAATATAAACTTATTATTACAGAATACAAATATGTAATTATGTTTCGACCTGTTTTAGCCAAAATAAATATTAAAGCAATTACAAGTTTTAGATAATATTTCGTGACTCGAGAACAACCCTGATAGTAGGGTATTGTTGAGTTAATTAACGAGAATATAGTAACTTTTATGTAATAATGTCTACCAGAAGAGCCGCTAAAAAAATCTACCTGAGGCTGACATAATCTTGTCGAAACGTCGTATATCTATATATATAAAACACAAAAAAATCTGTGTGTCTGTCTGTTTGTACGTTATATAACTATTCCTAGGTCGCTGGGCCAATCTCAAACAAACTTTGTGAGAATATAATTTGGAACAATGGGTATGTTAATTGGGGTTAACAATCCCCTATCCCCATTATTGCTGTTATTGAGCGTTTATTATCTTTGACGTAAGTTACATACATTAAGAGATGGCGCCACGTCCTTAAACACCCCCACACACATTTTCTATAAAACAACATACACACATTGTGAGGGAAAGGGCACTCAAACGTCTTATACATTTCAGACAATGCGCTAGCAATCTCTATGGAAGAATACAATGACAAATAATGTTCGCCACTATTACAATACTACATAAACTTAGCTGAAGTTTCTACTCCAACAGCCAAAATAAGGCTGATATGATGAGCTGTTTCTTGAGTTATACCCACTTCTTACTTTGACCCGTGACCTTTCAATTTTGGCTCATAAGACACTTCTGCGACCAATGACCGTCAATTAATAAAGCACATAAAACACTGTAGGAGGACATTAAGAGCTGGGTGTTGAAAGCAGGTAACATAAAGCACACCTACCGCCACTACAATTGCCGCTACCTCTTCCTACAAAGTCACCCTGATCCACGCACAGTGTATACCGTATTTTAAGTATACACATATTTAGTTTTTTAAAGCTTATACAAAACGTTTGGTAAGGTAATAATGAATACCGTAATAATATGTTATGTCATAAATAAATTGTGTGAAAGTTATAATTTTTGCGTTATTTATCAAAGCATCCACCGCCACATTATTTTAGTTCACAACATGGACAAAGGACGGGTACCTCAACTTGTTTATAATAAATTTTTCTCCAATACCTAGACAAGCCGTCTCCAAATTTTTAGATTACATTGGTGTTGTATTTGTATGGATAACTAGTTTTACGAATTTAATAGTTACAAGAAATTTTGTGTTTGATGGTAAGGTTTCTGAAAATATTTCCTATTTTGTCAGTTATTTCTGGGATGTAAGCTATACAGTAGTATAACATTTTTTTGGGGGCGTATCATTGAATTTTGAGTTCTTAGTTGGATGTATAGTGTGGTATTGATTGAAATTTATGTGTGTATTTTTTTTTAGTTTATTTTGTTGAAATTTCTTTAAGTCAACTAAGTGTTGTTTTATTGGATTAATTTCGTCACTGAAATTGTTGATTGAAGATATAATGTTTTTAGCTGTGTTTTTTTAGTACGTTAACTTTTTGTTTTTGAGTCATGTGCAAAATCCCAGAGGACCTAGAAGCCTGTATGAGTGCTTTGCGTACATTTTAGTTTTCGAATATGCATGAAGTTGATGCAGTTGTAAAAAAATAAGTCTATGTTCTGCAGAAGTCAATTCCACAAATGTGTCGTTTACATAACTATCTGTACAGTGGTAGGTGTAAAGCGGAATTGATTATTTGAGTTTCGATCTGTGTTATAAAATTGTTTCGTAGAACTGGTGAAAGGAGTCAGCCATTCTTAAACCATTGACTTATATAGTTCTGGTTGTTGAACAGGAAATTTGTTTTAGTGATGACAAATTGCAGGAGAACAGCTAGTTGGTAACTTGAGATGTGTAATTTAGGGTTTGGGTCTTTGACGTAAAGTTCTAAAGCTGAAGTTGTAGATATTTTTGAAAAATGAGTCAACATATGTTACAAATGTGAAAAGTGTCTATGGTATATCTTTGCCGAAGTTGTAGTTAAATGACTCATAGGTTAATATTATAAGTCTCAGTGGGCAATCAGGTCAAGGATTCATTACCATCAAGTGAGTTGCTCGACATCAGGTTTATAATTTTTTAGTTACTTTTACTACACAATTATTGGCGAAAATCCATATTTTTTTTTAAACAAATAAGAAATCTTTCTCCAAACCAAACTTTTATTGTTATAAGCTCTTAACTTTACAACTGAGCTAGCTGTGGTTATAATAAAGGCTATAATTTGCGTATTATTTTTTACAAAATTAGTGTATTATCAAGTACAATAAAACAATTTAGTTACAAAATATTGGTTTTATATTACAAAGTCATTAGCCTTTAAATAAGCATTAATTAACATATTTTAAATACTCATTATAAATATATCTATTATTTTCATGTGGTATTCTGGTTTATGTTTGCCAGGTTATATTTTCAAGTAATTTATTCTCTTTCTTCGTGTTTGATTGTATAACAAATGCTATGTAGGCATTATTTTGATAAACAGTATAAGAGCAGATTTGCGGTTTTACTTGATTGTTGATGCATATTTTTAGAGTGGGATGACTTTTTGCTCTATTTGCTCTATATCCGGAATGTTTGGAAATTAAGCAATTTCCCTTCGCCCTGCTCATAATTTAAGGATATTACAACGCAAGGAAAACATTATATACGCATACACACACATATATATACATGCATACGTTCATGCACAACTATCTGACAAGGTCTGGACAGCAAAAGATGTAGATAATAGTGCTTGCTTTTTTCTTTGATAGGAACTTGAGTGTTTAAAACTCGGAGTTTTCGGAAATTAAGTAATTCCTCTTCTCCCGCTCGTGATTATAACGTATGCATAGTGTTGTAAATAAACAAAATACATTAGTTTTGAAAAATATGTTAATTAAAAAAATTCATACGTACATATCCATACATATCCGTATGTAAACCCACACACAAGTATATACAGGTATGTATGATAAAAAAACAATTGTTTAAAATGAAAATCTATTCAAATTTATTAGAGATTTAAAATACAGCTATTTTGGTTAAGGCTTAGGATTAAGTGAAAATGGTTATTGATACTATTAAATTTAATAATCTAAATAACTGCTCTATATCCAGAACTGGTTGTTAAATTATTGACTCCATAATTTTCTTAAGCTTTTTTTGTGATTTGGAATCTAAGATGTAAAGCTGTATTTACTTTGATAACTTACTCTGATTTATAGGTTTTAGTGTTAAAAACCTATGATAATCTTTTAAATTATATGTATAGACTTAAACAAATAAAACAATCCCAGTAACTTTGGAACAAACTAATCAGTAGCTTTTCTTGAATAGATGAGTTGTTTTTAGATTTTTTCTAATTTGTTTTCAAAGACATTTTTCTTCTTTATCAGAAGAATGATTTTATATTCACACAACTCAACAGGGAAGCTGCTATTTAAGCAATAAGGAATTGCCAATGTAATACTATTTTATACGTTGTTTATATCCTTTATTTTTCTACCCATTTATTGAGTAACCTTTAAGTAATGTTTCGAATTCCATGAAACTTTCAGGGTATCTACTGTACTATAAAGATGAAAGAGAAGAATGGAACACGATTGCAATTCCACCGAATATCATAGACTACAAGGTGACAAATTTGAAGTGCGGCTCTCATTACCTGTTTTATTTAATAGCCTTCAATTCTGCAGGTAAAGGAAAGCCGAGTGAAACAATTAGTGTCGAAACTAAAGGAGTGGGTAAGTTTTAGTAGCAAAAAACGACATATATTTCCGTTCTGACATTTGAAGTAATTATTTTAATATTAATTTATTTCAGAAAATCAGTGCACATGCATTAAATAATTAACAAATACTAAGGCACTCAGATAATATCTAAACATATATTTTTGGTATAAGGTTTTCGATGTGTAAGATTTAATTTTAACAACAATAAAACTAACATCTTTCATTCATCCATGACCGTCTAATCGCCATCTGTTGACCACTTGTATTATTACATGATCATCCTTTGGTACAAAAACCCTTTTTTTTGGTTCCACATTTTCAGATAAAATAAATGTCTTATTATTAATGATATTTTCGTTAGACTTTTGTTTCCATCAAAGACCTAACTTGTATATGAATTCAAAATCGTTATTTTATGTTTTGAAATTTCCCGGACTCCACGTTTCAGTTCCCCGCTGTGGACAAAGCGCAAATAGATAGCCCATTGTGTAGCTTTGTGCTAAAACGACAACAAATGTTTTGAAATACATCATCATTGAGGCAAATATTCTAATTCTCAAAACTTTCTATATATATATGTATATATATATATATTGCATATGCGATGCATCTTCATTAAATTTACATCCGAAGAGCCAGTTGTGGTCATTACAATGAAATACGAAAATAAGTAAACGTAATTCATTACCAAGTGGTTTAAACAGGACTTAATTATTATGGTATCGAAAATATGTTTTATGACTGTAACACCGATTTTAGCCATGGTTTATTTTATTTTATTTTTGCATTGTGAGATAAGGAAAATGAAGTGGAGATAAAATGACTACGGTCTATAAACAGTCTTCTTTTTTATAGCTCCAGTTGTACCAAGTAAGCACTTACTGCTTTCTGTGAACTCCACTTGGGCAAATATCCACCTAGCGGCATGGGGCGATGGGGGTTGTCCCATTAGTTACTTCTCTATCCGTTATAAAATAGAAGCAGATAAATCATGGATAACTTACTCCGATCACATTCTTAGTTCTCAAAAGGATGTTTTCCTGTCGAATCTTACCCCTAGAACACACTATCGGCTCCAGATCGCAGCTAAGAGCCCGGCTGGAACCACTGAAGCCGAGTACTCAATTCTAACTCTACCAGCTACTGCAGGTACGTGCTGTGTATTTCTCTTGAAAACTATAATTTCTATATGTTATTCACCGTTGACGTTTTTCAGATATTTCCTTTATTTTCAAAGAAATACCAGATTTGTCCTAATGATCAATAACGTTTCTTTTTTGTGTAACACTTTAAAGCTCTATTCACGATTTCTCAACTTTGTATAGATATGTTTTAATAAAATAAATGCATTAGAAAAACATAGATTTGCTTTTTGAAAAAATAAAGGTTTAATTAAAGTAACTCCAAATTTACAAAATTAATTTCGATTTATAACCTTTTATAAAATAAAATAACAAAACTCGTAATAAAATACATCTTTCTTTGGGATTCTGGTAGCGATTATATTAAAAATAATAATATAAGAGTGGAATGAAACTATAATAAGCCAGAACACTGATGTAAATGTACACTATTTTAAGTTCATACATTTGTTATTTCTTTGTTTTCTTCTCTGAACATGTAGTGTGAAACATCATTTTATATTTTAGAGAAATATTTATGATTTTAGTCTTAATATTTCTTCAGTGGGTGATAAAATGCCTAACTTACTTTGTAATTGTATAAATGTACTACTAATTTTATCTAGTTCAAAACATTAACTTCTTCTTTTTTTTCTGGAACGATAGCAGATTCAAAATCTTCTGTAGAAAAATTAGGAAAAGAGCATGTGCCATTATACTTGGATCTGAGCATTGTTCTGCCTGTTGTCGTGTCATTAATGGTAGTTATAGTTATTATTACGGTTGTATTTATTATTCTACGAAGGCATCATTCACCAGAGGGCTCCAATAATGGTAAGTGAGAATAAACATTTAGTTTCTTTAACTGTTTTGGCTACTTGGTAAAAATTAATAAAAATATATCCCAAGGTTTTCCCTTACTGACCATTGTGAGTAATTAATATTCAATACATATTTCAACTATTTGGCGCAAAAAGTACACTTTCAATCCAGTGAACTTTTTAATAGCCTTCCAGATATTTTTAAATATACAAAAATTGATTTGAACTACAACCAAATAAACAATCGTATAGATGTATATTGTAAGATTAATCATGTAAACATTTGTGTTTTATTTATTCCTTGGTTTTGTGTTTTTATATTGATTGGAATATTTTTTTTAGTCTAGTAAACGTAAGCTAAAGAAATGCTAAATAACGTTGAAACTAGACAGCTTCAGGTAGAACTGCATCGTGGCTAATCATTTATTTTTAGAATTATATAGACTACCATATTCATTACTGTTACGCTAAATAAAGGCTAACTAACGTTGAAACTAGACAGCTCCTGGTATAAATGCATCGTGGCTAATCATTTATTTTTGGAGTTATATAGACTACCATATTCATTACTGTTACATTGATGATGCATTTCAATTTTCGACACATGGAAATTTAACCTCGTTTTGCTCTCTGTGCGCGACTTACCTAATTAGGCCTGCCATCAAAGTATTATAAAATACACCCTTACAAACTCATTATGTATTTAGTTTGTTGTATCTATCTACCTATCATCCAATCTACACATTTTAAACTTCATTATAGTTCTAAGCCACCTGATTTATGCATCACTGATCCGTGAGCTTGGCAAACGACTGAATATATTTTACAGTTATCTTTTGTCCATCAACATATAACTTATTTATAGAGTCTTTAAGCTCTTAGTTTTTTTTAACTTACTCTTTAATCACCTTTATTTCTCGATAGCATTTTTATTATTAAATCCTGTTCGACAGTTCTTAACACAGAAAAGTGCTTTAGCTTAAATATTTCAACTAGTTCATTTCATTTCATTATTAGTTTTATTTTTTGCAACTAATTGAATAAGATGACTTTTACTGCAAAGTGTTAACAGTACATATATAGATCATTTTTCAAGAATATTTTTAACATTATTATCTTTCGCCATTAAAAGTATACAATTAGAATGTCATTATCAGTACATTCATAAGGCTAAGTTATCTGTATTGTTAAAGTTTAAGCTATTAAAAATTACAATTAACAATTAAAGGTTTATTTTCATATTCATAACTAATAACATACTTTAACGGTTTAAATTTTAAAAACATGTTTTTACGTATTCACTGATGTAAAAATAGTTAGAAAGTTTCTTTCATAAAACATTTACCTTTGAAATTCACAATAATGTTAGACTAAGGTTTCTTTAAAAATGTGTTTTTAATTTTACAACACATCGATTTTCAGTCTGGATTTAATAAATGTGATAGTAAATAATACGTATTTGGTTTAAAAACTAAGGGAGTGAAAAGACGTACTTGTGCATATTTACTCCATATAAACATCTAAAAATAAATTTCCAAAAGTTATATTTACCATCCAAACTAGTATCTAAAATATTTTAACTCTAAGATGTGTTCTTAGTTCTTATTAGGAAAGCCATCAGTTACACTATTTAGGAATGCATAAATCATTATAAAGAAATAAAAATTTCATTCTGAAAGTCTTGATATAGTTCAAAACAGAATAGATTTCTTGGCCTCAAAATATGAATAATTTTCTCTTTGAAGTAAATCACCACTCCGTTTTATAATGTATAATGCGGTAGTAAAACATTACAAAAAATGAATATGGAAATGGTCCATCTCAATAGCTTTTACGATATTATATTCACTGTATGAACTATGTGTAAGTATTAATGTTTATACATAGTGGATTAAAAGTTCGACTCATATTTTGTAAATTATAAAGAGAATTAACTTTTTCACTGACAAAAAGAAGTTAATCGGATATTATGAATTTAAAACCAAAAGTAATAATTAAAGATGTGGCGATACAGCGATACGATTCGAGTATCGTATCATGAAGTCCTGATACGATTCTATTGATACGATACGATTCATATATCTTCATGAAATTTGGCAAGCTTTCAGTAAACATTATAAGTCTTTTGTTCAGAACAAATCAGAATTTCTAATAAAGTATTTTTTTGCTAAGAAAAATTTATCAGAAACATTAAATGCAAAGTAACATAACAAATTAACAATAACAAAATAGATAAACAGATATTAACTTTTTTTATTTCACTTCTCTTGTCAGCTGTCGTTTAGTTGATCAAACCTGAGAATTTGAAAAAAGTACTGTAACGTGTGTAGTACTTAAATAAGACAATGTTAGTAATATAGATAATAAATTACAGACAAGAAAAAAGAAACCGTTGGTAAAACTTCGTATCGCGGCATCAATATCTAGATACGTATCGTATCGACTACTATGATAAGATACGCACCCCTAGTAAAAATCGTTGTTTTTTATGGTATTTTATATTATCTTTATTAAGATATTAAACTTTTAATTTATAATTTATGTTTATTATAAGAGTAAGCAGTATTTAATAGAATGTACGATTTTGGTAAGAAAATAATAAGGACTATAATTGAAAACCATATCACAACCACTTATACTTGTTTACATAGCAAACGCAATAGTGATGTTCATTTTATCATCTGAAAGAAATATAGCATGATCGCACCAATTATTATGAAATTAGGTTTTAAATCATAATAATTATTGTGAATGTTGTCTCCATATAATAATTTTGTGTTATTCTGAAATATTAAAATCAATATCATCAGAAATATATGATGGAACGTATGTATTATCATTAAAAATCTTAATATATACGTATGTATATATTTCATCATAGGTGTAGTTTTTTTTAATGGAGTTTTCGAAAGTTTTAGCACTGAGACATCGCTGTGTAGTTCACAGCTTAACAATTCTGACGTTCGTTTCACATCCACATGGTGCAGTAATTACTTTATCAGATGCTGTTTGCGATAAGTCGCGAAATGTGTTTTCTAGCTATAATCATGTTTTCGGTTGGGATTAGGAGTAACTCTAATATATATACATTACTTACAAGAACTAATCATCATGGACACTGCACATTTACTATACTTACAAGAACTGTCTTGAATTCCAATAAAAATTGTCTTAATGGAAAAAGGAATCCCATTAAGCAAGCTAGTCATTAAAATGTCCTCTCCACCATTGTTATTTGATTTGCATGTAATATTCTTCATGGTTGATTAGTAAAATAACTTTAATGGATTATCTTGTAATCAAATATTCAGTGCGTTGCTTTTCACGCTTGAGCACTGTAATTATTTTTAGTCAATCATTACAAGTTTTAAAAGGAGTCCCCATCCTAATTATCGTTTGAAATTGAAACAACCCTGCAAAGATAAAACATGTGTACTTGAAAAATTTGGATTCCATGAAACTCCAATGTTCAGGATACAAGTACCAGCAGTCAGGTTATACTTTAAACTAAGTACCATAGGAAACAATATCCAAGAAGAATTTCTTTATTTAACCTTCTTGTTGTCATACGATGAGATCTAGAACATTTCTTTGCAATAAGCTAAATGATAAATTATTTATTTTCTCGACACTCTTGTGCTAATTTTGGTTTTAAAGTCACTTTTAGTTGATAGTCTTATGTGACTGTCCAAAAACAGCAATAAGAAAATCTTTATTGTTTGATATGTCATGTATAGGACTAAAATTTTATGGAATTGTTTTAATTAATTAATAACTTTCACAAAACACATGTTTTAGTTTTCATTCGAAGTTGTATTACATTAGAGTGATAAACTTATCTTTCGGTTAAACGTGACGTTTATTTAAAAAAAACATAAAATTCTCTTGAAAAGTAATAATCTATTAATTTATTTATATTAATATAAATAAGGCTTATACTAATAGCACTAGGCAATTTTCACTAAATTAGAGACAACCGCGCTTAGCGTTCAATGAAACTTTATCTTACAAAAATGTAAGAGATCAATTTTTTAATAATATGAGATACTTTTTCAATTAATATTAATTTGGCTATCGAATTTTTTCAGAGATTTTTGTCATTTATGTGTGTATCATAATAATTGTATATAGATTTGGAATTTTCGTTGTATTAATGCTTTTGTCTTGATACTTTATCACTAAGTTATTAAACTTTTTAATATTATCATGTCTCACATGGCTAGCAACATTATAATTATCTTGTTTCTCTGTGAAAGATTTAGAAATATATATATAAAATAATATTTTCAAATACAATATTCAAAGGCAATTTTTGTTCGTTTAATATGTGGGTATTTTAACCTAACCATTTTCAAATATCATCTATTTAGACAGTATTACCTATACCAGAAGAAAGTTACAATCTCAAGATGCTCTAAACATGATTAATTTCAACCATAACTTAAAAGAAGGCCTTGATTCAATGGAAGATGGCGCCACCATTTATTATCCCGAACCTTATGCAACAACTAAGTTATCTAGTCATGAAGAAAATCAACTTAGTGAATCAGTAAGTTGATTTTAAGTTTATTATATGTCATGATTTTATCTGATTTAAATAGCATGTTATATTATTATATAAAATCAATTGACTTACAAAATACCTGCAAGGTCTATGTGAACAAGTACCCTGCCTCTCCAACATTATCCGGCCATCCCTTGAAGAAGACGTAGTGTAATCAGCTTGCTCAGAAAGGGAGCTCAGTGGTTTTAAATACAGAGACATAACACAGAAATAAATTGGTAGTTTTCAAGTGTTGTAACGATACCAATACGTGATGAATGAATTAAAGTTGATAGATACTACTGGAAATATGGAAAGTTTTCGATACACAAAATATTTAGTCTCGCGTGTTTTATTGCGCTTAAAAACATTTAATATTATCCAGACCAGTGCTTTAGGAAATTTTCAGGTATGCCTGAAACACTGTCAAAATAAGACGTACTTTCATCCTTTAGTACTTTAAAAAGTGTCAAACAATACAATCGTTGAAATACATGCCCAGTGACTTTCCTATGATGTCAGAAGTAAACTGGTTTCTTCTGTGTAATCAGTGCAGTGTGCTCTCCATTATTTGGATACTTTGGAAAGCCTAGGATAAACAAACTGTACAAAACTCTAAAAACACTCAGTATTGTCATTACGAATGATCATGAACTCTGCGCGAGGTCCGTTACTCCGTTCTTAAGCTATGACTGATTATGGGGCTGGAACAAACAAATAAATAAATCTACTGTGATTGAGCTTTGCCAACTGTGAAAGAGTTACTTCTGGGTACTAAAGAGTGGGCTGTTTTCTGCACAACTAGACGTGGGAGGTATATCTCAAGTGTCTACACCTCTAAATGTACATGAATATACAAAAATATATCTACCGAATTCGTTTCAGGGGCTAAGGTAAAAAAGCTTATCAACAGATCACTTGTTTTGTTTCAATAGAATAATACTTTACATCACAAAGACAGTGTGACCAGTACCTGGTTTCATACAATAATATCGATATCATGAAATTGCAATAGACGCATGCTGAAACATAGACGAGAACAGGGCTTGCAAAATAGCTGAAATTATTCAGGTCAGGGGCTCTGCTACACTATAGTAAGACATGTCCATTAAGACCATACTCTTTGATTAACTAGATGTCCGGGATGGTTTTAACAGGGCAGTATATATAGGTATAGTATTTACAAAATATTTACTGTGTTTATGAAAATACAAGAAAACTGAATTAAAATATAGGAGAAACGTCACATAACTGTGCTCTGATGGACTACGCTGTCAGATATAAAAATGCATAGCAAATTATTTGTTTGCTGTTTTTGTTTTTTAAGTTTTTTTTCTTTTA